AGAAAGAAAGAAAGAAAGAAAGAAAGAAAGAAAGAAAGAAAGAAAGAGGCCAGAGTCTGACCTTGACAGATAAAACTGTCTGTTTCAAATAGTGAAGGTCAGACACTACAGTGGAGAGTCCATGAAGAGTGCAATGGCTTTGCTTTCCTGGAATTGTTTCCTTAACCATGACAGATTATCTTGGGAGATAGCCCATTTCAGCAAACATTCCTCTCTATCTGTGGCTGACAATAACTATTGAGAAAGTCAGAATTCCTAATCTCACAGGAATCTTGTTTTTACAACCTTGGCTTTCTGTATCGCTGGGTAGCCACCGAGGTCCAGGATCCTCCTGTGTCCACATCCCCAGTACACAGGGATTGTATGGTGTCCAAATTTGCTTCTCTGTTGCTGTGTATAAAACAATGATCAAAACCAATTTAGGGACAAAGTATTTATTTTGGTTTACAACTCAACATCATAGTTCATCACTGAAGGAAGTCAAGGCAGGAATTCAAGGATGGAACTGAAGCAGAATCCATAAATAGATGTCACTTACTGGGTTGCTCCCCACAGTTTGCCCAGCTTGCTTTCTTATACAACCCAAGACTACCTGCCCAGAGGTGGCACCACCCACAGCAGGCTGAGCCCTCCCACATCAGTCATGAATCAAGAAAATTCCCCATAGACACACCTACAGCCAATCTGATAGACACAATTCTTCAGTTGAAGTTCCCTCAACTTTGAGGGTAACTCTAGTTTGTGTCAAGGTGAACAAAAGCTAAGCAGCATGCAGCAATCCCTTTACCCACAAAGCCATCTCTCCAGGTCCTTTTGAAAGGGGGGTGAGGGAAGGGAATTGGATGATTTTTTTTTATTTACAAATTTAAGAATTTGATTTTACTTTTTCACGGTCATATTTCAGACAAGATCATAAACATTTCTTTTTTTTTTTCTGACACCAAGCCTAACGTTTTGTAGGCAGGACTCAAGAATAAAGATCAAGATAAATAAAATGAATAAAATATGAAAGTCCAGGCCATTGAGATGCCTTGGCAGATAAAGGTGTTTGCTGTGTAAGCCTGACAACCTGAGTTCCAGCTAAGAATACGTATAAAGGTGGAAAGACAGAATCAATCCATACAGCTCTTCTCTGGCCTCCATGTGGGCACACACATAATGTACCCCTGTAAAAGTAACTTTTATTTGCCTGAAGTAATTGTCATCTCTGACATTTACTGCCTGTGTTTTCTAATCTAGGCCTAGTCCTGAAGTTTCTAGCCTTTGTATAATCTGATCTAGGCTTTTAATGTTTTCAGTCTCTGAAACTTACTGCTGAATAAGCTCACCCATTCCTATTCTTTCTGAACTTTGGCTGGCAGGTCAATCCAGCTGTTCTGGCTCAGACTCCTCTCCAAGCTAACTGAACCAATCTGGCTTCTCTCTCGGCTTCTGACTTTTTACTCTGCTTGGCCTCAAACCAATTCTGGCAATCTGTTCTAATCTTCTGGCTCTTTCTCATTCTCTGGCTTATTCTGTCTTCACCTGGTCTCTTTCTGTAACTTGTTCTCTGTTTATAACCTGTCTCTCTATAACCGTCCCAGTAACATGGGCTCCTTTTCTCTGCCTGCCCCTCAAGTAGCTTTCCTTCTCTCTCTCTCTTCTCATAAAAGTTGGGTGTAGCCTATTCTGTTAAATCTTTCTCTGATTCATCTGCCACTCAATTAGACATCACTTTCAAACATGAGTGCTTTCTTCTACAAACTAATTTTACCTTCCTTGTTTGGTATTCAAGGTGTGTAACAAGGACATGTCTATATTCTGGCCAGAGGAAAAAAGGTGCATGCTAAGAGCTGAACCACACCACAACTAGAAACAAGTTTTTTTGTTGGTGGTGTTTTTTTTTTTTTAACTAAATAATACAGTCTTGGGGTTCACAGTACAGTGTGATCAAATATCCTGAAATACACTACCAATAAAAATTTTCAAAACTAGAAAATCAATAGCAATCATAACATTCATAAACAAGATAGCTTTGGCGGGTAGTTTGATGTCAATTTGACACGTGGTCTAAGAGGAGAGCCCCTCAACTGAAAAACTACTAACACAAGATCAGGCTGTGCGCAAGTCTGTAGGGCATTGTTTAAACTAGTGATTGATGAGGGGAGTACAGAATGAGCCAGAGAATGAGAATGAGCTCAAGATGAAAACAGATTGCCAGAGTTAGTTTGAGGCCAAGAGGAGTAAAAAGTCAGCTCTTTGTAGGTGAGAATACCCCTAGGCTAGGGGTCCTAGGAAGAAAGCTGAAACGGCATGAGATAAGCCAGTAGGTTGTACCCCTTCACAGCCTCTGCATTGGTTTCTGCATCACTTGAGTTCCTGTCTTGACTTCTTTCAGTGATGAACAGTGATGTAGAATGCTAAGTCAAATAAGCCCTTTCCCTCCCCAACTTACTTTTGGTCATGGTGTTTTATCATGACCATCAGGTTCAATGATAGTAACTCTAATACAATAGGCGACTACTTTATGACTAAGAAAAATTCTATTACTATTATTACAAGTCAAACTCGTTAACACCTTTTTTTTCTGACAACCACTTCTGTGACTGTATGTCCGTGTGCTCGCTGAGTCCAGAACACTAACTCTAATGGAGCTGCTGTGGGCTGGAGATGTCTTAGCAGTTAAGAATTCTGACTGTTCATCCAGAGGATCCAGGGTTAGATTCCCAGTAGTAAGTTGACTCATAACTTTCTATAATTCCAGTCCCAGGAGGTCTGACACTCTCTACTGAACTCTGTCAGTACCAGGTTCTCAGATGATGCCCACATTGCTCCCGTGCAGGCCAAACACCCATATAAAACATTTTATAAAATAAACTTTAAAAACAATTAAATCCCCCCCCCCCCCAAAAAAAACAAAACAAAAAACAGGGCCGGGCGGTGGTGGCGCACGCCTTTAATCCCAGCACTTGGGAGGCAGACGGATTTCTGAGTTCGAGGCCAGCCTGGTCTACAGAGTGAGTTCCAGAACAGCCCGGGCTATAAGAGAACCCTGTCTCGAAAAACCAAAAAAAAACCACAAAAAACAAAAAACAAAAATAAAAAAACCAAAACAACAAACAAACAAACAAACAAAACAATTAAATGGAGTTGCTAATACCAACATCTAGGTAGGTGAAGATGTAGAAGACCATGCAAATATAAGGACCAGGACTGGGAGAGTGTCCTATTTTAGGGCATTATTCATCACTTGCAAAGTCAATTGAAAAGCTCTAGCTGAAGTATTCTCACTAATTCCCACTAATTCTTCCTCCCTCAATAGACACACAAAGCGGGAAGGGAGGTGGGAGAGAAGGCGGGCACTCGAAAGAGGGCTGGCCGGAAGAGGCGGGGCCTATAGGAGCACCTTAGGGTTGCACTCGCTGGGCCACTTCCTTTCCCGGCAGCGCCGTGAAGCGTAAGCAGCTCGTGCTTCATGGCGGGCCGCGGAGGCCGGGGAACCCGGCGCTTCCTCCGGCTCTTCCAGGTGCGAATCCCGCGTTCTACCTACCCCGTGGGTGCGGAGCGGGGCTCCTTGTTGGCGGCGCCGATCGCTAGCAGGGTACGATGGGCCCCATGGCCTGCTGAGTTACAAACTCCTTGTAGTTTGTAGTTTTGAAGTGAAGTGCAGGAAGGAGCGGCCGCTTCTGCCAGCAGCTTTCATCCGGGCCTGCCCGGTGGAGGGAGTCCCTTTGTGTCCCTAAGAAAAGCCACCGTGCAGCAGCCGTTTCGGGCTTCGTAAGTGGGCAGTCAATTCTTCCATAGGAAATTTTAGAGGCGGATAATATTGCTTCTTAGATGTTAAGGCCGTCAATTTTAGGTGTTTTTTTAAATTAATAGTTTGATCTGAAGTATTGGCAGCACTCAAAGTCAGCTGTTATTCCTGTTAACAACCCCTTCTAAGTACGATCTAAGAGACTTTGAAGTTAGAGCAAAATTTTCGAACTTAAGAAAGCCACACAGGATGGGGATGCTGGCTAAAAAAGGTGGTAGTATTAAGTTCTGAAGCATATGGATACAAAAGACCATACCATTTCAGAACTGTAAAATATATGTTCCTGTTAGCGTTTGTAAACCAGGTTAAGTACTCTGGGTTTCTGTAAACTCAGCATTTCAAATATGAAAATAGTTAAGGGTTTCTCGTCGAATTTTGCAAGTCATAAGTCATCTCCAGTAATTGGTTCCAGTAATTTTTTCTGTAGGACATGATTTGTTACCCTGGCCATGCCATTTCCTGTTTTAATGTGCTGATGGTCTGCACAATTGTATATATGCCTCTTAAAACTGCAAGGCCCGAGACTGACAAGCAAAGGCTTGGTACTCAGTCCTTTAAGTCAGTGCTGTCACAGTGAAGGGCGTGAATATAATGCTTTTCTGTGATTGATGGATGATGGGACAGGAACTCAAGCACTGCAGGGACCTGGAGTTAGCAGATGCAGAACCCATGGAGGAATGATGCTTATTAGCTTACTCTTTGGTTCTCATAGAACCCAGGACCTCCAGCCCAGGGGTGGTAATACCACCCACAAGGGGCTTCCCCTCCCATCACTGATTATGAAAATGCCTTACAGGCTTGCCTACAGCCCCATCTTAAGCAGGCATTTTCACAGTTGTGGCAGCCTACTCCAGTGACTAGCTTGTGTCATGTTGACATAAAAGCCAGCACACACACTCAAACAAGGTACTAAAACATGGAAGTAAAATGAGAGTTCACAGTCAAATATTTTAATTTTTAGGTGCAATAAAACCTGTCTCTTTTGAAGGTGTTTGAACAAATGTTTTCCTAAAACTTGCCATAGAAAATGACTGAAACAAGCTACCAGGACTACGGTTGCCAATAACAAGGTACACTGTGTTGTGGTTTTTTTGTTTTTTGTTTGTTTTGTTTTTGTGGGTGTGGGTGTGTGTGGTTAGATTAACACAGCTGGCACAATGATGATTAAGTTTTTGCCGTTTACCCAGCTGAGGGTTTCTTTGAAGAAAGAACTTAAGACTGAGATGCCAGCAGTCAGTGTATAAATGATTCAGATGGCTAATGTGTGATGCCATTGTTAAAGTGGGTTACTGTTTGTCCTCAGCATGTAGGTAGCTGCAGTGAATGTCCAACTTTGGGAGCTGTGAAGTTTAATAACACTTCATTGTTTTGGTAAGTTTGCTCGTTCAGTCATGGCTCTTGATTGAACAGTATTTGATAACACTGAGGGTCTGGAGCCAATTTGAAGACTATTAGGGTGAACACCTGGGCCTAGTATCTAAGATGGAAGAAAAATGATTTTGGGCTTCTAACTGACTTTTTCTTCTTTTGAGAAGGTGCAGCACTCATTTTGGAATGTAAAATGAAGACTTGATCAAGAAACTGAACAGAAGCAAATGGTGAAATTAGTATTTAATTTGATATTAATAAATAAGTTAAAGAAATAGTTAATTTTAATTGCTGTGGACAGTAATTTCTTTATAATGCATGTCTTTAAAACATCATTCTCATAAAATAAACTTCACACAGAGAAACCCTGTCTCAAAACAAAATAAAATAAACTTCTCATTTTCTCTGAGCTGCAGACTTTGACTTTTTGTCAACACAAGGAGTCCTGATGGCTAGTAGAGTATCCAGCAGTACACCTTACAATTTCTGATGACTTGGGCCTTTGTAAGGGCTGGGGAAGTGGTTAACTGGCTTAACAAGGCACAGAGCTCTAGATTTGATTCCTAATGCTAGACTTCCCAGTTGTGTTTGCTATTTTTTTCTAAGAATTGTTTTGTTTTTAACCCTAGAGACTTAGCCACATCATATGAAAAGGCACAAAACAAGTCTTAGATTGTATGTACTATATCATTAACTTGACCCTGTGGTACTACCTCCTGGCAGGAAAACTACTTGCCCCAGGAATAAATAGTTACCTTGGTGTCACTTTGGTTGTATACAGCAGGAGGTATATATAAGGTTTCCACAGCTTTCTTTAACTCTACATTTGGCCTTATAAAGCAGTATACTCAATGCATGTGTTTTTGTTTTGGGTTTTTTTTTTTTTTTTTTTTTTTGGTTTGGTTTGGTTTGGTTTTTCGAGACAGGGTTTCTCTGTGTAGCACTGGCTGTCCTGGAACTCACTCTGTAGACCAGGCTAGCCTCGAACTCAGAAATCCGCCTGCCTCTGCCTCCCAAGTGCTGGGATTAAAGGCGTGCGGCTCAATGCATGTGTTAAATAAAGACAGGCCTCACACCGGAACTTTGGGTCATTGCAGTGATTTGAACTCATCACTGGTAAATTAACAAGCTTCAGCTGGGTATGTTTGGCAGGTAACATGTTGCTACATGATGGGTGTAATAACTTTTCACACTACAATGTTCTCTGCTGTGTATGTTGATATACACACACACACTGGGGTAACTAGGAAGTTTTTGATGTGAAGCTCCTTGGTAACAATATAAAGTTTCTTTTGGTTTTAGATGTTAGATTATTTGCATATTTGTAGTTATGAAGGGGCCACATTTCATACTCGGAATGGCATTCTAACAAATAACCTTGAGATGATACATATTTGAACCATTACTCCAAAATCACTCACACATTTACCCAGGCTTAAGGAGGCATGAAAAGTAATTCTTCAAATTGCTTATTCATCACTAGAAAAGACAGCTGTCCCAGGTCCACATGTGGCAATAAACTGTTGGAGCTGCTGTTGGCACTGAGTCAGGTAGAGATCTCTTTGCTCTAAATATTCTTCATTATACAATTCAAATGGAAATAATGCATTGGGAGCAACACAAAATGCAGTAGCCCCTAAATGAAGAATAAAATACAGTGTAAATGAGACTTTAAATGTAGAGGTACATTTCAACAAAATAAGGATTTAAAAGTTAACTACTGAATATTGATTGTCATTTAAGTTTTATTTTTGGTAGCCCTTTTTTTTTAGTAGCCTTGTCTGGCTTGCCTCAACCTCTGAGCACTGTGATTAAAGATGGGGATTATCACATGTAGCTGATTTAAATTTTTTTAAAGATTTACTGATGTATATGAGTACACTATTGCTTTCTTCAGACACACCAGAAGAGGGCATCAGCTCTCATTACAGATGGTTGTGAGCTACCATGTGGTTGCTAGGAATTGAACTCAGGACCTCTGGAAGAGCAGTCAGTGTTCTTAACCGCTGAGCCATCTCTCCAGCTCCTTAAATATATTTTAAATATAAAATAATCTTTAGTATGTGTTCAACCAGGTTCTAGAGCCCTCAGGCCTATCTCTTCTTACATGCTCTGTATTATGGGATCCTCACCTCGGATTCCTCTCCCGGCACTCAGGACCAGGCTGCCTCCCACTACAAGCCTGTGCCATCATATGTGTTGATGACTGTATTATCATTAGTGTACTGTATATCATAAGTATTTTGGCATTTACATTTGAGAATAACAATCCCTCCCTGGATTACACGTCCTCTCCAGCCAGTTCCCCTCTTTCCTCCTCATCAATGTTCACCTGTCTCTGGCCTGTTTCCATAGCCACATTTGTTCAGTCCTCACTTCTACTCTAGCTCCAAACAGCTCTGCTCTGCTCATTGGCACTACAAGCCTATGGCTTAGTAGATGCGATTGTAATCCCATAGACCTGTTCAATGTTCACTCACTTTGGAAACCCTCTCTCGGCTTGTGGAACACAGTATCTTTCTTGCTTTTTCTTTTTTTTTTTTTTCCCCCGTTTTTTTGAGACAGGGTTTCTCTGTATAGCCCTGGCTATCCTGGAACTCACTCTGTAGACCAGGCTGGCCTCGAACTCTTGAACTCAGAAATCCGCCTGCCTCTGCCTCCCAAGTGCTGGGATTAAAGGCGTGCGCCACCACCGCTCGGCAACACTGGAATTCTTAAAAGACAGTCATGTAATTCTACATTTTAGGTAATTTCTTCCACTTGACTTAAAATACTATCTCTGATGTTCTAATTCTTATATTTCCAGGTTAAAACTCTCCTAAGATTAAGACTTTTTTATTACTCTCTGTGTGTGTGTGTGTGTGTGTGTGTGTGTGTGTGTGTGTGTGTGTGAGAGAGAGAGAGAGAGAGAGAGAGAGAGAGAGAGAGATTATAGCTTAATTGGCAATGATTCGTCACCCTGAACTTGTCATTTTCTTGAAACACCTGTATTTATTGCCGTGCCCGCTACCTGTGCTCTATCTCATTAAGTAACCCTGACAGAAGTCTACTTTATCCTTAACTTGTAAATCTTACTGTAATTCTCCTGTTAATCTTACTGTAATTTGTCTGTTGTCCAAGTTCAGCTGACCTCCCTCCCATGCATATAACTGGCTATGTCCAGTCAGGGACACTGATGTCTTTTTAAATTATTTGTCCTTTGTCTCTCCCCTCCTCTTTTGAACACTTTAAGCAGTATCTTTTACTTTATGAGTTTTTGGTTTACCATCTAATATTTTATGTAATTTTCCATTATTAGCAATTTATACTCCCTCTCTCTCAATGTGTGTGTGTGTGTGTGTGTGTGTGTGTGTGTGTGTGTATCTTTCTTGCCTTGTTTCCCTCCTAGCAAGCATATTTTGTATTTTGACTATCTGCTTTTTAAAATAAGACTCAATATTTTTAGTCTTTATTTTCTGTTACATTTTTAAAGTTTGCTTTAACTTGATTTGCAATTGGGAAATCTTTTTTCCCTTAAAAACAAAAAAACAAAAACAAACAAACAAAAAAAAACTTGATGTGGGCTGGTGAGATGGCTCAGCAGTTAAGAGCGTGGACTGCTCTTCAGGAGGTCATGAGTTCAAATCCCAGCAACCACATGGTGGCTCACAACCATCTGTAATGGGATCTGATGCCCTCATATAGATGTCTGAAGACAGCAACAGTGTACTGTGGGCTGGAGTGAGTGGGGGTGGGGAGTAGAGTGAGAGGGAGAGGAGAAGGGGAAAAAAATTGGGGGTGGGGAGGGAACCACCTTGATGTTAACTTCCCCTCCATTACATTCTTTGTTTCCCCTTTCCCTTACATTTATTTGGTCTTGCTTGTCTTTAAACATTTTTCTTTGTTTGCCTCCTATTGTTTTTTTACCCTGTTCCTTACAATTACGGGGAAGAAGCAGTGTGAGGACACAGGGTATGGGGAGGGCAGTATATGTTATATAAAACAATGTCTGATTTGATAAGACTCAGCCTTAAGTAAAAAAAGTCAAACACCTCTCCTATTATTTGTTGAAACCAGTGTTTAAACTAATTCAGGATGATAATCTTTTCTAGTAATCATTTATCTCTGTAACCATTTCATAAAATTTACAGTCTGTCTCCTTTGGAAAGGACACACACAAATCTGTACATAATAATTTACAAGCCCCTTGGAATCCCAAGTTAAGAGTGCTTGGCTTGGTATAGGAGTGAAAGAATAGCTCAGTGGTTAAGAACCCTCGATGCTTTTCCAGAGAACTAGGTACTTGGGAGGCAGATGCTTGATACCCAGTCAAGCCTGGGCCCTGTGCTAAGGCTTAGTCTCACAAATACTCCAAATAGCAATTATGTGTAAATAGGTGTCTATTAACAGATGACACTGCCACCAGCATAGTGACATTGCTGGAATCCCAGCACATACAGACTTAGGTAGTATGATTTTGAGTTCACAACCATGGACTACATGGTAAAACTCTGTCTTGAACATTTATAAACAGTAAATGTTCAAATTCAAGAAAGACTTACCCAATAACAAAGATATTTTGAAGTATTTAAAATGTAACAATTTAATAAGCTAAGAATATTTAGGAGCATTACTTAGTACATTACCATATTTCAATGTGAGACATATTTCATACAATAAGGCTGCAATTAATACATCTTCTCTGAGCACTTTATTCCTTAAGTTCAGTCGAGCATGAGCTTCAGATAAAGAAACTCTAAAAAAGAAAACTGAGGTTAGTAAAGACGTCATTACACATATTTAAACAGGAACAAATGAAGATATGACATGAGCTACATGTTAAAGGTCTGCACACTTTTTCTGTTTTTTTGTTTATTTGTTTTGTTTTTTTGTTGTTTTTTTATCGAGACAGGGTTTCTCTGTATAGTCCTGGCTGTCCTGGAACTCACTCTGTAGACCAGGCTGCCCTCGAACTCAGAAATCCACCTGCCTCTGCCTCCCAAGTGCTGGGACTAACGGCGTGCGCCACCACTGCCCGGCTACTTTTTTTAAGCTATTTCCTTGTAAGAAAATTATATCACAAGAAGCAAATATCCTGACTTATCAAAAAGAGGAGGGGCTGATACTTAGCACTCCACATCCCCTGCTCCAAGTTGTGCTACAATAAATACACGGAAGGAAAGAAGCCTGACTAACCGACTAGCCATCTCTTAGAGGTATGTATAAGGTACACAGATATAGATCCTTGGTTCCTTTGTCAGCTCATCTCTCTAAAGTCCTCATGGAATCTTACAATTCAAAATTCACGATACATAAGTGAATTTTGTCTGCAGTATCATGAACTCATTACCTTATCCCCTTTAAACATATACTACCAGTCACTACTTGTACAAGTAACTTACCTTTTTAAACATGTAAACTGCTTTTTAT